AACCAGAGGGGTAAGTGCCAGGTCTGACGCCGAACAGGGTGGGCAGGAGCTAGCACCCTTGAGCAGGACCTTGGCTGCTCCCGGGCAAGCCTGTGTCCCTAAACCCACATCTGAGCTCAGAGATGGGCTGAGGGGAGGCACGGGGACATTGTCACTTCTGCTGGCTGCTGCAGGGTAATGACTTCCAGCTCCCCCACCAAGTGGGCTCAAGGGGTTTCTCTGCATGAAAGGGTGTAGGAATAAATCGCTTTTCCTTCCCAAGCAAGTGAAGGTGGTTGGTACAGCCCAGCAGTTTGCTCCTTCAGCTGGTGAGGCTGGGGTGGCTTATAGCTCTGTCATCATCTTCCCCCGGAGCCTGTGTACAGCGAAGCCGGTGGGAGCTCCGTTGCTGACTTCGGTGGTGACGGGATCTGGAGGCTGAGCAGTGTCAAGCCTCTGTTTTCCATGGGGAAATGATATCTTAACATAAGATGACAATATAATTCTGCAAAGCCTTTCCCTGTTGCTTGTGTTTCCATGTTGGGGTGTGTGGTTGTTTTTTAAAGGAGGTGGCATTTGAAATATGAAGTTTGACAGCCGTGGTTAAGCCTGACATGACAGCCTGCTTTCTTCTTACTCATAGCGAGCTGAGATTTACACAATCCCTCAGGGACTGGTGTCTACAGCAATAGGCATCTCGTTCCTTCGTTTAAAATTATTTAAAATGTAATAGTTTGTTACGCACTTCTCTTCCGCGGGCGAATGCTCGTGCCACGAGAGCAGGCTGAGCAGCATCTCTTCTGAGCATCCTGCAAATGAGACCTCATGGGGTGCTTGGAGGGGTGTTGCTGGACGGAGAGGTGGGGTCACCTTTCCTTGCAGCATCCCTCCCGCTGCTGTCTCCGGGCTCGCTTTGCTTGTTCTCGCTGGATCCCGGTCCCGTACCCCTTTCTCCATTGAAAGCTCCCCTTTGATATGCTTCCCCGCTCGCAGGCAGGGCTGGGAGAGAGCTCGGAGCATCGCCTTGTCCACCCTGAGGCAAGGCGGACCCTGCCCACCCATGGCGGGGCAGTGGGTGCCACTGCTTCTCTGCCCTTGTTGGTACGGACCGTTTCCCAAAGCCTAACGCAGATCTCCACTGCGATTTTTAAGCCCATCCGTGCTGGTCTCGCTGACTTGCTTCCTCCCGGTGTGTGATGGGACCGGTCCCCAGAGCTGGTCACAGCTGAGCTCCCGCGGAGCTGAACGGCTGCAGGGAGAGAAATCGGGGCCAAGGCTGCTGCTGAGGGCATTGCGCTGGGCTGATGACTTTTTAATAAACCCAGCCCAGTACGTCGGGCAGCAGAGGAAAGGAAGAGATAAGGTGATAAAATGCATGTTAATATTATGTTCTTTAGTATAAGCTTGTGAAACTGGTGCCTTGCTTGGCTTTCTGTTCTCTACACTGGGTAACACCCTGACCAACCAACCCTGAAGCCTGCCCTGCTTTAGGTTGGAGATCCCCCGAAGTCCCAAGTTCTGTTTTAATATGGTCTTTTGGGTAGTTGTTCCTTCTCCCCCCCTGCTAAGCAGCAAGCAAGGAAAAACAAGCACTCTGCTACTTGGAAGGTCTTTTTGCCTGGTGCAAACTGTGTTGGTGAAACACCACGGTAAGACTTCGGCAGCACTGGTCTGTGCTGGGAGCCGGTGTGTTGCTGTTCGGTATGGGAGCTTGTTCTCCTCCTAACCTGGGCGCTCTGGCTCGGACGCTGGGACAGGAGTGGCCCAAGCGTTGGTTCGTGCAGAAGCAGAGGAGTTGCAAAGCCCTCGTGCTGCGGTTGCCTTGGTCTGGGGTAGTGAGGCGGGGACCTTGGCAGCTAAACCGCAGCAGGCTTAAATCTCCATAGCAAAGCCTTGGTGTGCTCTCAGTTAGCTCAGAGATGGCTCTTCGGCTCCAGGCATTATCCAGTGTGTATTCTTTTCCTGCGTGAGACCAAGGCTGTGTTTCCTTCCTCCTCTGCCCGCTCTGTGGAGAAGCCCGGAGCTGGGTGCAGGATGGATGTGGTTCACTCCAGCTTTGGCAGGAGTGCGGTGGCCGGTGGGGTCGTGGACCCGCTCCTGTTGCTGCAAAACACCCAAGGGGAGGGCGGTTTTCCTGCTCCGGTGCTGCTGCCGTTCCCGTTTGAAGGACTGTCGTGGCTGTGCTAATCCCACAGAAAATTGGCCTAATGAGCTCGTGTCGTTTGTTTGGACTTTTGAGCCAAGAAAAACACTCTTGGTGAAAATGAGGAAAAACCTCACTTCTCCATCCTTCGCTGATTTGTTCTGTCGGGAAGCGGGTTTTGATGGCTCTGCTGGGTTGCAATGGCCACGCAGCTCGTGGGGCCGGGCATAGGGATTTCCTTGGCTGGAGGGTGGGCTGCCGGCGGAGGCGCTGGCAGCGCTGCCGTGCGGCAGCCGGTGTCAGATCCTCGCGGCATCGGTGCCTACATGGTTCTCACCGCTCCCCTTCTGTCTCCCAGGTCATGCTGGCCGCTTCCTACTGGTCCCTCCTGGCCCCGGCTATCGACATGGCGGAGGAGTCTGGCAGCTTCGGAGCCTTCGCTTTCTTCCCGGTGGCCGTGGGCTTTGCCCTGGGAGCAGCTTTCGTGTACTTCGCCGACCTGCTCATGCCGGCACTGGTAAGTAGGTGTTCCGGGGCTGGGGGGCTTCTGCTCTTCCTTCGGCTCTGCCGTGACAGAAGCCGGTTACAGATTGGTTTCTATCACAGATTTAATGAAACCATGTTTTCTCCGAGACCCTGGGTGGCTCTGCCAGTGCTGAATGCAGCTTTAGGCTGTCTGAGCTCTTTTTTCTTCCTTTCCTCCCCCCCCCTTCATGCTTCTGCTTTTGTTCTTTTCACTGGCAACACTTTGCAAACAGTTCAGGTGTGACCTTCTGTTTCAGCCCAGGGGTTTAATTTGCAGAGCTGCCAATCTTCTAAGCATTTCAAAATTGAATGAACCATCCTACTGTCTAAGAGTGTTATTAAAAAAATAAATAAATTGGAAGCTGTTGGATTTTTACAGCTGAAAACACAAGAATGGCTTAGTCGGTAAAGATATTTTCAACAGCTTCCAAAGAGCTTTTTAAACTTTAGAGTTATTTTAGTGGAAGGGAAGGTTATGAGTAAGGAGTAGTGTGAGGCTTTCCATTTGGAGAGTGGTATGGCTGGTAACCCTGGTGTCTAGGGGAGCCTGCAGCATCAGCCTTCCTCGCTCCCTTGCTTTTTGAGCCTCTCATAACAGGTACAGTCAAACGCATCCTCAGCTATGAAGAAAATTGCTTGATATTACGGTGTGTCGCTTCCAGTGCAAATGGATCCATTAGAGTAAAGAACAAATAAATGAAACGGCAGCGGTGTCAGACGGCTGAAAGCCTGGCCTCCCTCCGCACTCTCTGCCTGCCCGTGTCCTGGCTCTTCTTGGGGCTCCCGAACCCTTTGCAGGATGCGGGGGGGGGCGGGGGGCTGCCGTTGGGCAGCCGGAGCCCTTGGAAACCGTTTGCCACCGAACCCTGCTTTTTTTCTTCTGCTCTCAGTAACCTGAGGTCTCTTGCCTGCGTTGGCCATCGCAGTGATCGTCCTTGTTACAAGGTGCTGGATGCGGCCCGGGATGTATTTGATCAGCTGCCCGAAGCTGATGTTTCCCAACAGGGTAGATAAACAGTTGCACCACAAAACCCGCTGCTTCCTGATGGGGCCGGCGTTTCGTTTTGAAATGGGAGCGTGAGTGAAATTCTTCTGTCGCAAAGAGCAGGATGGAGTGGTGGCAAGGGCGGCCAGCGTGCACGGTGGCGAGGGCGATGGTCTTGTAGGGAGCAGAGCAATATATATGAAAAATATACAACTATATCTTGCTTTAAATCCAGTTCAAATACCAATGGGAGAGGAGCTGTTGCCTTCTCTGGCTCGACACAGCTGTTTGCACCGTGCGGGAGAGCATGTGCCACCACACACTTGTCCCAGGGGGACTTCTGATAGCTGGTGCGTGTGCTAACGCCGAGCTCCGAGAGGGTTTACACCCTGTGGCTAATGCTGCTGCCTGTGTGCCTTGCTTCCTGCAAAAGTGGGTGTCCTCGCGCTGGGGTGTCTCCTCCAGCCGGATAGCGGGCAGGACCCACCTTGTCAGAGTTTGTGCAAATGCAAAACGCCGCTTGTCCTTCCCCCGGATAACTCGGGCAGGGTCAGGAGAGCTGGCGGTGGGTGGGGGGGTTCCTGCGCTCCCTGCCCAGAGGCAGCAGTGACGGCTCCTGGGGCTGGTCAGAAACTCTGCAATGGGCAGGGGATGGGACTTTTGGGATGCTTTAGGGAGAGGACAGGGTACCCAGAGACTTGGCGAAGTTACGAGGGATGCTGTGGAAGGAGCGTGGGTAGAGGTTAAAGCTGAATGTGCTGAAATGAAAATCAGCAAATGCCTGGTCAGTCCTGAGCCGTCCTCGAGGCTGCGCTGGCAGGGGAATTTGGCTCAAGATGCATCTCCCTTCAGTTGGAGCCCAGACTTCTGAGGAACCAGTGCTGCTCAGACAAGGGTTAAGCCATTGCACTTCACTTCCAACAAGTCTTGCTTCTTTCTAAATCCGTTAAAATCTCAGGGTTGGTTCCCCACACTCCCCCCCCTAAAGTTAGGTGAGGAAGGGATGCTGGCAAGACCATGGGGCGTGCTGTCCCTGGGAGGGCAGGGATGATGAGGGATCTGTTTTTAGCAGGCTGCTCTTTGCACAGAGAGCTCTCTCGCTGCCTGGCACTCCTCCCTAATTGGTTTGCTGGATAGCAACAGGTAGTAAAAGCTTTTAATGACCCCTTATCACCCCAGCCCTGCTCCCCGGGGAGGGAGCAAGGCTTGGCTCATGCTGCAGCCCCACTGGGAGCTGGGCGGCTCTGGTGGTACCAGAGTGTTTGCTGAATGGCAGAGCTGGGGCTGGTGGGAGGGTTAAGCCTCCAAGACAAATTGGTTAATGATGCCGAACAGCTGTAGTCATTAAATTCCTTATGAAAGACAGATCTAATCTATTACATCTTTATCTTGTGCCATTTCCCCATGTGAAGACTTTAATGTGTTTGTTCGTCCTTTAGCTGAGTTTATGGAGGAGGAGACGCTGACCTGGGAGCGTTTGGCTTGGCTGGTGGAGGACAGCAAACCACAACGGGGTGTGCGGGTGGGCTTGGAGAGCGAGACCATTGCAGAAACGGACCTCAGGAGTTCTAAAAAAGGGGATCTTCCTTATTTTGGCAACCGTCTCCTTGCATGTCGTGTTCAGCCAAAGTGTGTCTTTACCAGCTGCGCTGGGTTCGGTGGCTGGGGAGGCGGTGGCAGAGCTGGTTCTGCAGTAGGACGTTGCTGTAGTTTCAGAAATATCTTAAACCACTAACGAACGGCCCGTCTGTTTCTTCCCTCCACTGGCCCCGATGATGCCGCAACAGGTTTCTCTCCTTTCTTTGCTCTAGTTTAACCTTATGGCTACTTTTTAAGTAAGAACTTGGCTTTCAAGTGGGATTTGAGGAGGCTTCTGGATGGAGAGGGGCAGGTGATGGGGCGGTGTATGAGATGCTATTACCTTTACTAAAAAGGGTTGGGGCTGCGGGTCTTCGATGTCAAGACCCGAAGCCTTTGAGGGAGAGTTCACTTAAAAATACCGCTCAGTGCAGTAGGTCCCTGATCGCTGAGTAGCTATTTTGGGTCTACTGTAACGCGTAACAATGCTGGAATTACGTATTATTCTCATCCTTCAAATCTGTCTTGCAGCTCTGCTGACTTGGCTGGCTTTTGGTCAGAGTGTGATGTTTTATTGGGTTTCCGTGATGGGTTTCTTGCTCCGGCCTCCCTCTTCCCAGGGGAATTCCACAAGAGTCCAGAGGATGCATCCAGCCCTGACCCCACCTTTCAGACGGTCCCTGGCTGCTTTTGCTCCTGAATTTTCACATGCATGTCTGTTGCCTTTGTCGTCGAGCTGCCGGCTCCCCAAGACCTCTCCCGGTGGTGCTGCAGGCTGTTGGAGTTCCCACAAGTGTTCCTGCGCCCACATGGGTGGGCTTTGGGTGGGATGCTGGGTCCAGGTGCAGCGGAGCGCCCGTGTTGAAGCTGTGGCTTCCAGGACCTCCCTTGCTCCTGCCTTTTCCGGATCACCGCCCTTAAATGCTCCTCCGAGTAAGCGGGAATTCACAGATGTGATGCTGGTGGGGTTGGGAAGGTGACATGGGCAGGGGTGAGGAGAAAGCAAGCTGGCCATAGCGGAAGATAATAAACCCCTCGTGGGCTGCGCGTCAGCTCGGCCGTACCTGCCTGCCCACGTGCATACGTGCTTCTATTAACCACCTTATTCTTTCCGCTCCCCGGCTGCATGATGTCCTCTCGGCTCCGTGATCATTACACTAAATAGGATAATGAGGCTTAATCAGCTTCATCTCCTCTACCTGTAGGCTTCATTTTGCTCAGAAACATGTGTCCGTGTACAGAAAGCAGCTCTATCGCTCCCATCGTGGTGGGTGCAGGTCTGCTAGAGGAGCTGAGCTCGGTCCGGGACCCGGATGGGTGCTGCGGCGTGCAGGGTCTGGGGCAGCCCTGGGGTGTCCCCTGGGAGAGCTGATCGGTGTTCAAGGGGGAGGGAGAGGAAGGCAGATGTTGCAGGAGGACCCGGAGTTAATATATAATCCAGGGAGAGAACTGATGGGCCATTACTCGGTTATAACTAGGAGCCTGCCAATACTTCTTGTGTAAAAGATGATTGGGGATGGGAGGTTGGGGAGCCAGGGCTGTAATTCTGTCCTGGAAATACCATCTCAATTGGATTTCTAAATTTTTTTTTCTTGTCAGCTAGATACAGGGTTTGTTGTTCTTTTTTTCTGAGTACAGAGTAAATCAATAAAGCCGCATGTGATGGGTGGACCATTCCTTAGATTTAAAACAAATAGTAGCTAAAGTGCCGTTTAAAAGCCTCTCGCCTGGGTTGGTGTGTGCTCCGCGGGTGCTAGCGCTGGCCCCTCGTGCTGCAGGAAGGACCAGCGCAGCCGAAACCCCTTCCTGGAGGTCCAGGGCTTGTGTTTCATACCCGTTTTGAAACCTTTTGGGCTGTGGTTTGCAGCTGCATAATGGTTTTCCTGAGCAGGCTGAGGATCTTCACGTGGGATGGTGGAGTGTGGAGCGGGTGCGTGTGTGTGTGTGTATGTTCGTAGTAGGAGGCTGGATCCTGTTAATCCTCTCAAAACGTGCTCCTGCCCTTTTCTATTTTTGCAAATGGAGGCTTGCAAACTTTTTTGGAATATGGTCTGGGATTGGACATTTTGCACAGTGAATTTTAGGCTATTTTTGGCGAGCATCCTTGGGAATGATTTGAGAACTTGATAAACAGATATCTGAGGGATACTCTCCCTTTTAATAACAGTGGTGTCTGTCGTTTGGCTCAATGTGCCTCGAGGATGTACATTTTGCTTTCTAAATCTGTGCAAGTCACGTATCTGGGGAAAGTTGAGAATAGCGCGTGGATGGTGAAGCTGCAGGAGGGGGAGGAGAGACCATCACGCCCACTCCAGGCGTAGCTGCATGTTATTTAGAATTGCAGTTTCTTTCTCAGGGCTAAACCACAGCTGGATTAGACCACGGGAAGCATCTTTTTGGGGGGGGCACTAGGTAGTGATTCCTAGCAC